AATTTTTCTTCCTGAATTCAACCCATGTAGGGAGTAAGTCACACAAATGCATATTTAAAAGCTGAACCAAATTCTTATTTGGAGCGCTAGGAATTAGTAAGGCTCAAGCAGTGGCCATCGCTTGCCTGCTGTACAGATCTTTTCAGAGAAAGCATCTTGGTAAAATATGCGGTGATAATAATGGGGCCCAGGAGAAAAAGGAAACTCAAATATATGTCAAAAACTGAATGTAAATGAAAGACCACACACACACACACATACGCACAGAGAGAGAGAGAGAGAGAGAGAGAGCGCTTTAGAAAGTAAACATTAAAAGAAAAATCTGGCTAAATTTATCTCTTTGTCAGTAAAAAACAGCCTAAGCCTTAGCCAAGTGTGTTGTCAATTCTTAAACTGAAGGAAAAAAGAGAAATGCTAACTACAGAGCAACACTATCAAAGAAACGTTCAGCGATGATGAAAACAGTTGATACCTCGTTGTCCAATTCGGTAGCCAATAACCACATGTTAGAGCACTTGAAAGGTGGCTAAGGAACAGAATTTTAACTTTTATTTTATTTCATTCATTTACATTTAAATGTAAAAAGAACACATGTAGCTAGTGGCTACTGTATGGACAGCTCAGGAACAGACACTCAAACCAAATAGCTGGCAGTGTCTTTCATTTCCTACAATGAAATTACAATCATAATCAACCAATAATACCTTAAATTGTCACCAAAATTAGTACCTCTATACAGGCCCTGGCTGCAAGCTTAAAACTCAGCAAGCTTAAAACAAAAGGAAAAAGACTGAAGAAAGTGACTTCAGTGTGTCGTTTCTTGCGACTTTGTTCTGCCTACCCAGTTCACATTGCTATTATACTATGGCTTTGTGTATCTGGAAATCTGTGCTTGTAGACAGAATCTGCATTTGTGAAACCCAACATCACAGTCTCTCTCCTTAAAGTCTGGGAAACATGAAAATGTGAACTTAGGGCAAATTACTTAACCTCAGTAAGCTTTAGTTTCCTCGAGGCTAAAGTGCAGATAATAAAAGCGCTTGCTTCTCTGGAGGACTGAATTCAGAGAATGCAACAGGTAAAGGGACAAACAGTACCTAGCAAAGAGTAAGCACTTGGCAAGTGCTAGCTACCATTATTATTTTGTTAACAACAATAGTGAAATCTGTAATAAAATAAGAACGATGCCAGAAAATGAAGTTTACACTCAGCAAAGTTTTCCGAGGCCCAGACATTTTGAAGCCATTTCCCAGGCTATGGTAAAGTGGCTTCTAGGAAAATACATCTCGGGGCCTTGACATCTCGGGGCATTCACTTGTCAACCTCCAGAAAGGCAATCCCCCAGGTGGGTACCATGCGTCACAAGAACCGATCAACGTTTATTGTGCTCCTATTCTGTGGCTGGCACTGTACTAGGTTGTGAATGAGAACAGTCTTCAAACACAGTGTAATGTCTCAAGACTCTCTATCATCTGCAAAGCTTGGTCCCCACTGAGACACCTCAATAAGATGTAAAAATCTCATCCTGGGATCCTTCTCAGGCAGGGAGACTCAATTCCTGTTTCCTGGATGAGCCAAGCCCAGGTTCAGCTGCTGGCCCACAGAGAGGGACTAAGGTATAAGGGGGACCGGATGAGGACGAGCCCATTTTCTCAGCTGGGACTTTAAGGGGGTGTTGACAGGCCATGTTTTCACTGAGAGACCAAATCACTTTAACAGGAAAGCTGTTCTCTGAGCCTTTAAAAAGACAAATCTCATCTTCCTCACAAAGCAAACAGAACCCCTTTCAACAGCCAGCTGCCCAAGATGATGAAATCCAACGGGACTCTCTACCAAGTTCACATCAACCAGACCAATATGCCAGAAATCCCCCAGGAGTTTCTAAGCAGAAGTTTAGTGGAATTCTGTGGGGTTGGGGGTTATTTTTCTTTATAAAGAAAGCACTCAATCTCTTTCACAACCAAGCGTACATTCCCCTATGGAATTCCCTTCTCTAAAGATATCTAAAAATAAAATATTCGTCTGATCGTCTGCAATAATTTAAGTGTAAATCCATTTACTGGCAGAGTCAGGGACTTCTCACAGCTCTTCCACCTATGAAAACATGTTCCAGACTGTCTCAGATGGTCCCAATTTCTGGATCCCTCTGGCCCCAGAGAACACTAGTGAAGCCACATTCTTGACTTGGGAATAAGAAAATGAGGTTGTAGTATCTGGAATATCAGACTCATATGCTTTGCTGTGGGAGCGTAAAATGTTATAAGCATGTTAGAAAAACATGCTTTCTTATAAGTTTCTTATAAGATTCACATACACCTCTTCTAGCATTTCCACTTCTAGGCATTTACCCATGAGAAATGAGAGCAGAGATCCCTAGAAAGACTTGTACACAAATATTCATAGCAGTTTGTTTCACAATACCCCCTAAAACTTGGAATAAGTAATGTGTCCATGAACAAGGGACCATATAAACAAACTGCGGCATAGACATAACCTAGAATACAACTCAGCAATAAAAAAAAAAGACCGAATGACTGAAATTCAACATGGATGAATATCTAAAAGATGCTGAGTGAAAGAAGCTTTATACAATACTGTAGAATCCCACTTACATGAAGTTCAAGAACAGGCTAAACTAAGCTAGAGTGAGAAACAATCAGAGCAGTGGTTGCCACCGAAAAGGCGGAGGCAGGGACTGACTGGGAATGGGGATGAAGAAACTTTCTGGGGGTGATGGTGATATTCTCTTTCTTTGTAGAGACTAGGGTTACACAGGTGCATGCATCTGTCAAATCATTATGCAAATGTAACTCTCAAGATCTGTGCATTTCACTATATGCACATAAATTTTACCTTAAGAAAATCATGAACTTATACTGAACTCTAAATAATAAAATGTGTGCTAAAATGTTTAGTAGTGATCTGTCCCAATGTCTGTAGTTTACTTTAAATTGCATAAATCCGTAAGACAGACTGACGGATGGATAGAGGGATGAATAGATGCAGAGATATGAAATAAAGCCAATATAGCAAAATTATAGGCTCGAGTTGTGGGTGTTTGGATGGTCACTGTTTTCCAACTTTTCTAGATTTTCTAAAATGAGATGGGAAGGGGAAAGAATTATAGTGCCCTCCATCCCCACCCCCTTAGCCCACTAGGTTAAAAATTTGGCAAAACACCCATGCTCACCAAGCCATGGGCCCACATCATATCAGTTCTGCTGAAGAGAAAAGATTGCAAGAACACCAGTAGCTTTACAGGAACTCACATCACTCATGCCAAAG